TATTACTATAAGATAGGAGACATGATGCAACAACTCTGGTGTAGTCTTTAGTGCATCAAAGTTGCTTAATCAGATTAAAAGTTCTATTTATTCCAATATTTATATCAAAAAGGCATGTTTCTTTGCAGCTTTAAGAACTTCAGAGCAGTAGATGCCTTATGATTGACTGCTTGGAGAAACAAATTCTATAAATTTAGAGTTAACAGGCTACTGAAAGTTGCTTACAAGTTCTGTGTGTTTTAGATGATTGTAAAGAAATTCTGGGTTGCACAAACATTTGTGGAAAATCCATGAATTTCCAATAAAACATCTGTACAGTTAAAAGATACAGCTGTGTTTACCTTGCCATCTATCAAGTTTATCCACAGTAAGTTAAAAAATCCATTTGCCAGCTATACTGTCCAATTATTAACCTATTGTGATTCACTTTAACTTCAGTGTAATGAAGGTCAATCATTATGGAGTTATGAACATGTTAGCCATAAATATTACATAGGCAACATTTTTTATATGGGCTTGGTGAACTTTGGGTTTAAGGCACAACAACAAACTGTTATACACATCTAAAAATTTAACACTTGTGAAATGAGTTTGTCAAGAAAAAAAACTGAGTTTGACCTGAACTTTTCAGTGGTAGAACAATAACTACTCTCTCACTTGAACCACCACACCCTTAGATTCTGTTTCTCACCTGATTGACATGTAATTGATGCCGATGTGTAGGACTGACAGGGAGCCTGAAACGCAGTTGTGCCTTCTCAGCACACAGTATGTGGAATCCCATACTCTCTTCAATGCATTCTGTGGCCTATTGGAAGATGCTGGAAAGAAAAACAAAGCATTATATTCTTATAAAGTCCTAGATATTACAATTTCTCTGATCATAGTAAAACAAACCTATTTCATAAAATTCATCATGAATGAAGGAAAACGCAACATCCCTTACTAACTAAATGCAAATTTTACACAAGATTTACTGAAGGAGCATTGCATTCTTAATTCCAGCTTCTCTATATACGATGCCATTCAGGATAAATGGGGATTTTAATGACAATTACTTTATTGAATTGGTTCATATTTCTATTTTTTTTTTTTTTGCACATCTGAACCTATCCACAGATCACCTGGTCTTTCTGTACTTTTCCTTCATATATTAATGTAATAATGGGACAGACAAACTTGGTTTCAAAAAGGCAGCAGATACATTTGTTCAAGGACTGAAATTAAGTACAACTGAGGCATCAGTACTTTAACTTTCTTTTCACTGTCTGCTACTTCATATAAACACCTTTTTACTCCACTACATTTATTTGCTAAGTTTTCAGAATCCGATGAAAAAAGAAATTACACTACAAGCCTAATCATAAGACTTAGAGAGAGAAGTGTTACCCAACCTTTTTGAGCCACGGCACATATTTTACATTAGAAAAATCACAAGCCACACCACCAAACAAAAATGTCACAAAAAGCATATTCATTGAAATATAATGAAAATCTAGCCTCAATTTACTTCGCTATTACCTGCGGCGTTGTCTCACTCACAGCACAACTATGTACTTTAGTATTTAGCGCGATACCGCCCTCTAGTGGAAGAGCATGTAATTGTTCTGGCTGTCACTACACGCCGCTCGCTTAGAGTACCAATCAGGTGAAATTGGAAAATCTTCCACGGCACATTTATGTGCCGCAGCAAAGTGGTTGGGAAACACTGGTATACAGTATTATTTTCTAATGTAATCCACACTAAACTTGGCTAAACGACGAGTCTTTGTGATCTGCGTGTACACCATCCCGTGGAATACTCTACATCGCCACCAATGCAACACTGCTGAAACTACTGGTTTTACTGGACAAGTAAAAGCTACTGTCCTAACCTTAATCATCGTTAGTTGGTGAGCGCTGATATTGACGCTGCTTTTTAAAAAATATTTTAACCGGGACCGGAAAAAGCAACGACCAGCACCGGCTAAAAACTGTACGCTGCTAAACTGCCCGAATAATTTATACATCGGTTTGCTAACAAGACTTATAACGCCTCAATACATAAATCACGTGGGTGACGTCCCTTTTTTTTTAAGTCAATTTCCATCTAGAACTTAGCTAACATTAGATATATTGGTTAATTTAAATGCAAATTACATTTACCTCAATTAGCCTACCGTGGTAAGGTATCTTACATTAATGGAGCAGGTAAAACTAGAGGAGCTCCTTCATATACCAGACTGCGCATCCAATAGGGGATAACGTACAAGTGAAATTATTTTCCTAGATTAAGCAGGTTTAAATTTTTAGCCTGATAGTGAACACGCTCAAACAAAGCAAAAGTGTAACAGGCGGCTACCTACACTTGAAAGGTTTCTTGCTAGCATAGGTTGACTAACGTGCTACATTACCTAGTATACACGTAAACATTTGGAGCGAAGTATTTGCGCACCGCATACGTACAGAACGCAGAACATTAAATATTTATATTTCTATTTTCTTTACAATTTCTTAATGCTACCCACCTGCATAACAGATCACGCGCCATCATCCATCTTGAAATCCCAAACTTTCCACACCTGCAGCAGAGACCAACTACATAAATTAAGACTGTAAAGAATTTTCAAACTTTTCGACAAGGCCCCTCAGCTCCTACAGTCTATACTAACAAGCATTTTACTCCATAATCACATTACAGCTTCTCAAAAAAAGAACAGACCTGCTAGAAACCCATACCACATGTCAGTTACCAAATTCAAGCAAACGGCCTATTCATTCACAGCACCTGTCTTAAGAAGGAAATCCTCGCCTAGTGATGAGCACGTGAGACCCAGCTGCCTTCTGATTGGACAATTTGACTCTGCCCTGTGATTGGATTGTCATTGTCCAATCCGATTCAGGTGTGAAAACAGAATTCGTACCATTCACAATTCGTAGCCTGCTTGTAACTTGAGTTGTATGTGCAATTTGCTGCCTTTCTGTGACAGCACAGTACACACAGTGTCTTTGTGTAGCATAATTAGTTTACAGATTTTATTGATAGTTTCCAAAATGTTTTTTACAAGTACAAACCTTTTCTACACATGCTCAAAATGTTTTTACTAGCTGAAAGTCTCTGTGACCATGTATTAAGCCCACACAGTTCCCACTGCAGTAAGTTAAACAGTGATGTGATATTAAAGCCTGTGTCATATGTCATTACTGTGCTGATAATACTTGTACCATAAGTAAAACTGAAACACTCCCTTAGTGACAAACTATATCTGTGTGTGACTTTCTGAGGTAATAAATGTCTTCCAGAGCGAAAATAACAATACATATATTATTTTATTTGCATGTTACATGGTGATAAACACAACAGTACCATTAAGATTCAGTGTGTTCAAAGCTATCTCCCAAAAAGGTTACTTGCCCCAACATATCAAGTCACATTCAAATACAGAACATTAAATTCAAACAACTTTATTCTGTGTTGACATTTTCTCATATACCTTTACTACATATACTTTTTTTAGAAACTGAATGCTTTTACATCAGAGGTCTTATGCCATAATACAGTAAAAAAAAAATCAAAAAAGGGACATTGCTTTGTCATAATCCATGACTGAATCTTAATTTCCCATGACAAAGGTAAGGGAAGCAAAAAGTGATAGTTAACATTTGCTGTTTAAAATTTTAAGTGTGGTGTTGTATAAACATGATTTTATGGATTTGCGGACTTTACAACATTCTACTGTAGAAATATCATACTGTATATACACACAGAGGAGGAAAAGAACAAAAAAAGACAACTTGAAATGGGGTTACCACTGTAACCATAGCTCAATAGAAAGTAGAAAGTTAGCTGTTTGGCCAACTCACTGTGTAATTCATGCCTCATGAATGTAACCTTTTCGGGTAGCTTAATAGTAATAAACTGAATCAGATGAATACACAAGCACACATACATAAGCCAGTTTTGTACAGTGATGCGATGGTGATGTTTTGAGGCAATGCTCAATAATAAACTAGAAAGCTTTATCTACAGTCTTCAGTAGATATTCAGGCCTGTCTACAAGGGGTTGGTGCTGTGTCCATAGCTGGCTGTTGGTCTCTATGAGCAATGGAAAGACTGTTTTTTCTGCTTTATGGAAAAGACAGAGCTACATGGCTTCTACATCAGTGGTCTTAGTACATTAGTCAGTGCTTGTTGGCTGGTTTTAACCTGCATGGACACATCTAGACATCCACAGTGGCAAGGTTTGCCTTATGAAAATCACCTTAATTGAACAAGTATGAATTGTTTAAACAATGGCAGTCAATTTATTATCTAGCCACTTTACTATCCACTCCCTCAAGCCATTTTCCTACCCATCATGAATCCTAAGCAGGTTAAAATAAATGCTGAGCACAATTTAGAAGTATCTGACCCTGCTTTGATAGTCTGTCGGGGTCTCCTCTGACAAAAAACAAAACAACAACAATAAAAGAACACATTTTAGTTTATCTGCATCTGCTCAAAGCTAGCATTGCTCTGCCCTGAGTTTTTTGTTTTTTTAAATTTATTTTTAATGTGGCACACACTGAGACAGACAGACCTCCTGGAGTAGACATAGCACAGACCACTCTCATGCCAGCTGATCATGAACTACAGTATGTCACCACAGCTTTCATGTTATACACTTGTTTTTACAGTAAGACAAACTAACATCCTCGAGTATGAGCTAGCCAGAGGCTAAAAAGCAGTAGAGAGAGAGAGAGCCAGCAGAAATTCCAATGTAGAAAAAATCAAACTCAAACTACAGGAGTCACAGGGGTCAAATGAAGGTGGATATACCAGAGTTAAAAAATAATTAAAGAATGAATGAATTAAAAGCATGTTTAAGAAGGTGAAGCATCAAAACAAGCAGCTTTCTTATCACTTCTCAGGAATCTGAACGTAAGCTATTGTTTGTTATGATAAAATGTATTAAATGCTTCATTTTGACAAAAACCATGGCCAGTCTCTCTACAGTTTTACCCACATGATAATTAAACTGGATCAGATAGCATCGCCGACACTACAATGTCACACAGCCACGGCCTCAGAAGCATTTATAAGAAAAACACCGGGAACAAATTTTTTAATGTATGATAACAAGGAATACATTAATTTGATGTGAGTTACAGTACAGATTTGCATGTGATTTACAGTACTAGTACTATCTCACCTTGGTTATTAGAATAGTGGCGACATGAACACACATCTGGTCAAGGAGCTGAGCTGGGCACTGGAGTCCTCAAGTTAGTCGCCTTACAGCAAGTCAAAATAAATGCCAAAAAAGGAAGCTAATACTGTGAGTAAGCAGTTCTCATCACAAAACTAACGATGATTGAGCTGTTTCCCGAAAGAACTGCACTGTCTGAAAGATCTTGTAGGTTTTACAAAATATTGATAGATGCAATATTCATGTTTTCATAAAGAAAAGAAATAAATTTAGTGATCAAGAAACTTGCTATAAAACATGTAACATAATGGTATTATTTTATTAAAGAGGGCCATGAGCACAGTGACCTTTAAGGCCATTTGGCAGAATAAGCATTCAGTATTAATTTGTTCACATATTGTATTCCTGGAACATGGAAGAGCATTACAAGCTGAGTATAATATTCCATTCCCTATTACATCATGTAAACCAACCCTTGTATCATCTCAAGAATACATACAATAATAACTGCACAAACTATGTTCTTGTTACACTAGACCGTGTTTTTAAAACATCATTCTCTAATGGGCTTCAATGTACATGATAGAGCAGAGTTGCCATTTCAAAAGATCTACAAGTTATTCATCCTCAGCAAGTTGCTATCCTATTCAGAGACATGGACAGATTAAAATTTGCCTGTTAATATACTTATAAGGATATTGGACAACTAAAATGAATGAGATAAAGACAGAAAAATAACCTCAATATCAATATATTATGGATTTCTCTGTATCATTTCATATTAAAACACACATACTTCTTTGAAAGAGAAAAACTAAAAAGTAAGTCATTCACTGGTGTCATACATTTTTATCCCAATTCCAGCAGTATAGGACAATGACTCTAAAACTCATAAACTAAAAGCAAACTAGGTAAATGTGGTGCAGCCTGCTGTGGAACACTGACAAACTGCACAGTATGGTTGGTGGCTGTCAAACAAGCAACATACACTGCAACAATTTCCTCGGCTCCATGTCGATACAGTGGCAGAACAAGTTGTCTTATCATAGAGAAATACAAAATTTACTATGTACAGTACACATCATCATAACCTACTGCGTTTCTTTAAGTAAGAGTCCTGCCGCAAAGAAAAGAGGAATTCTTTTGGAATAAAGGCGAGTGGTTGCAAAGCCACTGAATGAGGATGTAGATATCCATCACCACATAAACTAATTCCCCCAGTTTATACTCTGCATGGTTTAAGTCAGTAGGATCAGGTCGATTCTGCTCACTGCATCCTCGATTTTTGGGCCTGATGGTAAAAACCCAAGTGACTACTGCATGTAGAAACAATATGTGTGATTGAAGAGACACCGGACTAGCGCTATATGTTTCAGTCTAGTAGCATCAAATTGTGGTTGTACAGACTTTAATATCAAGCTCTAATCTCATTACAGAATGAGCTGCAGTATTTTCCCTTTGATTCCTGTACTGTGTGTTAGTTTAAAATTTATATGTATACAGTATTTGGCAGATAGTTTGCAGGTTGCTCATTAATGCAATGGTTAAACACTTAGTTAAAACTACACTTTAACATAATGCCTTTATGGGAGTAAGAATAAAAAATACACCTTACTGTATGTCCTCAGTACCAATTGTTGGCATCCCTGTGAATGGGTTGCTTTAATTTCCATGAAGACAGAGATACAACAAATCCCAAATTGGATCCAGACCCCAAAGACTAGATATAGCAGAAAAAAGAGCACTGTTTGCTTGTTCTGTCATTCTTTTCACTTTTTTGTTCCTATAACATTTTACTCATAACCCCTCGCTATTCGTAATATCTGTAAGCATTGTTCGAGAGCACATAAGGTTTATGATGCAAACAGTCTGTGGGGGTAAAGTTGGTAATAAGGTAGCAATAAGGATGTTGGTGACTTGGAGAGAAGGAGAAGTAAAAGGAAGGAAGGCTAGGAGGGGTAGAGGAGGAAGAGGAGAACAGTGGTATTAACACTTGAAGACAAGGCAGGCGAAGGATGCCAGCAGGAGCCACAGTGATTGAGATACACAGGCGGAGCCGTTGGTATCTCGACCTGTCCCGGGTCCTAGAAAAACAGAGCAAGAGTTTTCATGTCACTACCGGGGAGCTTATTCAGACAAACCCACCACCTTGAAAATTACTGCTGTGATTTTGATTTTAACATGAAAAAGGATGACACATATTTGCATATCCACCATTTTGAGTGTCTTGTTCACTGACCCAGAAAATATAACAACCAATTTGCTTGATAGAATAGTAATACCACTAACATATTAAACATTCTGGTGTTATAAATTGTATACATATTTATTTCCACTTCCTCTGAGTCAGTAAATACATAAAATGTTAAGTGTCATGCTTAAATGACTGAGTTGTAGCCTGTTCAAAGAAGTGAGTGACTACAGGCCTAGGGAAGTGTTTGGAGATATCTGATGGCCATGTTGTGCTACTGATTCCGGTGCTGCTCTGAAGCTCAAACCCAATTCATCTTTCAGAGAGCAATGAGTTGATTTAAACGGTGGAAATGTGCACTGCAACTTAAAATAAATACGCAGTTGAAGAAATACATTTTCAACAAATTGATAGTATGTTAACCAAAATACAGCCAAATACAAAAACACGCTGAGAAAACAGGAACGCTGCCCAAAACACAATCAAATATAGAAATATTATGAGCTGTATGTATATGGTGGAAAACTATGGAAGCTTATCCAAGACAGGTTATTTGATGTTATGGTTTGTGGCTCCTGAAGATACTCAAATCAACTGGTAGAGATGTTTAGGTGAACCTCAGAGGCCATATCAGATATTTTACAATCACAATGTGTCAAATGACAGTGTGAAAACAATGTGACAGTGTGAAAACTCATACTGATACACCTATCACTATGATGAATCACGTGAATTTGCTGCTCTGCTTGTCTGTACAACACTCACACTCAGTGTGTAGCTGACTGTGTTGTTGGCTATGTTCAGGCAGAGAGATACCTGGCTGAGGGTAGGATTAAGGTTAGGTTGAGCTTAGGGCAAGAGGAAATACATATTGATGAGGAAACTGACTTCAGTAGAACACTAGTCAGTAAATGTACTGTTTTGGTTCACATTTATTGCTCTTATAACATTGTTTTCAGCTGAAGCAGGAAGCTGTTTTCAGCAAAACAACTCCAAAATTGAACTGTAAACTACTTTCAGCATCAAACAGACACAGTTACAGTAACTGTCTGATGAACAGCAGCTAAAGAGTCAGACGTTTCTCTCAACATCTTCTCTTCTTGGTGGATAGTACAGTGGAAATCAAAAACAGACCCAAAAGGAATCTGAATATATTGCCTTGTGGCCAGAGGTGCAATTCCAAATGAAAGCTACTGTTGCTTAATAAATGCTGCATATACACAATTGTTAATAACTTTCTATATCAACCTAAAAGGTGATGATACTGTATGTCAGTGCTGTGCTCACATCTTGTTTCTGCTGCCCCATAGTGGGCACACAAAACCACTGCAGGTTTAATTTAATCTTTCCAAAAGCTTTTAAGTGTTGGCAGAGGCAGTACAACACCTTTTCCATCTGCATTTATCTGTTCATGTTAAATATACGGTCATTAGTCTATTGTTTATGATGCTGCTGTTTGTATGCCAAATTGAGATGCAGTGGAAACCACGTCCAGCTGGCTAAAACCAGCTCAGCTTTTGGAGTGCACTCATGGAAAACACTTTCTGTAAAATTAATGATTGGGGTGGGGCCAGGAGTGCAAAATGCTTCAAAACTCGATCCCACAGAATAATTTCAGAGGGTTTCTATAGCAATACCACAGAGATTCAAGAAGCATTTTGCATTTTGTGATTCAGTAAAACAACAACAAAACTTTGTTGGATTTCTGAATGATATAAAAATCTATATTTTAATTTTCTATATTTCTGATAGAAAAATTATTGAAATAGAACTGCTTAATGTGAAAGAGGGCAGTCAATGCCAAAATCCAGGAGAATCATCACTGAGCTCTGCAGCTCTAAACATAAATACTCATTATGAGCATACAACAGCTCTGATAAGTCCCCTTTATGCTAACTGGTCAAAAGTGGCAGATGAAGTTACTAAGCTGCTGCTAGATATTCAAATACACATATGTGAGTCGGAATATTAGAGCTGTAGTGAGCTACACTGATGGAAACAAAAAATCCATTCATCCATCTACTGTATCTTATACACATGATTGTATTTGTCAATGTGCTAAAAACTTTTTTGTCTGCCTTGTAGGAATCAAAAATCAATTATGCAACAAGAATTTCCATAAACACTGCAAACAATAACAAGCTGATGGTTATGACACTAAAAATCGTATTCAAAAATTACTGCCTTCGATTTTTTTTTTTACTATTGACTATTATGACTCATTTGATCAAACCCACAAGTCTGTTAGAAGCTATTATGGAGTCAAAAAGACCCTCTTGTAGTTATTTATGTTTCTGGCCATTCTGGTATTATTTTGAATTGGAAATTACACTGTGTTAACAAAGTTACAAGCAAAGAAAAGCTTCAGTTTCACCTATTTTCCACCGAGCTGAATGGAGAGTTATTGCAACTATGATGATAAACACCCATTTCTCTACACTCTTCTGCCTTCTGGTGTCACATTTGATCATCTGAGAACATACAGTATTTAGCAAGTAACATAGCCCCTTGAGTTTACTTAAAACACCTGTACCTTACTTCACCCACAGATCAGGTGTCACCTTCCCTCTTAATCCATGTCCGTGGATTTTCACGAGGACTTGGTTAAATTACTCTCATGCAGAGCTCAGTACAGTATTAGTCATATGATTAAAAATTACTGCACAAAAGGTTTTACTTTTCATGACAGATTCAAATTGTTCAGCTCTTACAGTGAACTGCAGTTTCCTCCCTGCTGATTTTAAATTACTGAATGGGAAATTAGGTTAACAGAATTAACACTTCAAAGTCATCTCACCTTGAAACTCACAATGATTTGAAAGGTGGATTGTTCAAATGTAGCACAGATGTAATACTATAACCTTTCCGTGCCATTTAAAATACTTCCACTGTGATTCTGTGTATTTGTAACCAAACAATAATAAACTGTGAACTGAAGCAACTCACTATAGAGGAAGAGGCTGGCATTCTGGATGCCCAGTCGATTTGAGGCCACACAGGTGTAGTTTCCATAATCCTCTTCGGTGACATTGGCAATCATGAGAAGAGTGGTACTGCCATGAATTTGGATATTGATTCCCTGGGCATTGGACAACCTGCAGAGGAGAAACTGAGATCATTTAAAGTAATTTGCAAAGTAATAAAAATTAGCGCCCTTTATGCCAGAAGAGAATAAGTGACATTTTGGGCAAAACAAATAAATAAAATAAAATAAATGCCCTTTCTGTGAGGATAAGTAAGGAACTTCACCAGAGCTTAATTAACTAACAAAATATCCTTTTTTGAACCACAAAAAATGGACTTTTGAATTTTTCTGTAAAATTAGTCACTTATTGCCTATAAATAGGCTTAATCAACCTAGTGTTCAAACTATAACATGGCTTTCAGGGGACCTCACTTTTCCCCACTTTTTCATGGTTAGACTAAATGATTTAGCTTTTAAAATCCTTATTCCTATTGATAAGATTATGAATAATAAGAATAAAAAAACAGATGTAAAGCAACCAGTGGTGTGCGTATTTCAGCACCATGGAGGCAAGCAGGACAAATGAGGAGAGAGATGGGGAGAGACCATTTTACTATGTACACCTTTCCTGAGTGTTATGGTTCATACATTGGTTACCTTTTTTATTTTCTGTTTTACAAATATGACAAGGAAAACCAAGTCCTTGCATGTGCCACAAAGAGAGGACTGACTGTGACATTTAAAATTTAAGCTACCTTGTTTTCCTATGCACAAAGCGACTTCTCGCTACACGTGGAAGGCTGACACTGACGTACTATAAAAGACATCAATACTGTTTGTTAACAAAAATCAGCATACCTTCATACAATCCATACAATCTCAAAAATGGACAAAACAACAATTTAAGAGACCTGTTTTTACAGTACAAAAGCAAAGGTCTTCAGAGGCATTCATTATGTTTCATACCAAGTTACACTTTTGTACTGGCAATCACTTTGGAACAACAGGGGTCAGTGTCATGTCAATGAACTTTCTCAGTGTAGGCGTTGTGATTTTTAAGAGGGGAGATAAGCCTTTCTCACTTTGGACCATTTCTGTATTAGCAGTTTGACGCAACAAGCAGCAACCTTTGAATTATGTGGGTGAGAAAAGAAAACATGATGCAGTTTTCAATGTGACTGTCCAAGCTGCACAGCACTGTTTTCATTTAGGTCTGCAGAAATGTAAGAACTAGTAAACATGTCAAAACACAAATTAAACATTGCTTAGGAAATTGTTCTGTAGCAATATTTACTGTACAACCTGTACATTTCTTTTGCTGTAGTTTAACTATTCAAATGTTGTTTTCCTCATTTATCTTGACAGATTAGTGTCCTGTCTTTTGTTTCTTGCCTTCAGACAATTAGTATTCTGCCAAAGCCCTAGCCTGGACCTCTGGGAGCTTTAATGACCTCCCAGTGTCTGACAATCAATTATGCCAAACCTGAACCCCTTTCACTGCAAATTAATCAATACAGTTTGCTGACTCAGACTGTGTACCTTGCTGATGAACAGTTCCTTACAGCATCACAACCAAATGAACCTCTTTTAATAACACAGCACATAGACTGGCTGGCTTCTGCTTGTTCCAGGTTGACTGAGTCCATTTGTATCATGAATGAGGTGAAGTTCATTTAAGGTGCCTCAACTTAATCCTGCTTAAGGCTGGATAATGTGGTAATCGGACTTTGAGTGGGAGAACGGGAAGTTTATGCTGACACATACTTGGCTGATAGAGAGTATTAACATAAAAAGGAAAACGCACATCATGGCACAGCATAATTTGGCTCGCTGGGGAGTGACAGACTTGATAAAGTGCTGAGGTCCTTCCCATAGGGAGGCTCTGTGAACAGTGGCAATGTGTGTGTTTGTGCCTGAAAGCGAGAAAGCCAGAGAGACCTAAGGAAGGGCAAGTGCCCCGGCAGTGTCCGCACTCCATCTAAAAGCAAACCACCCTCCAATGATAAAGCCAGCAGCAGATATATTCTCCAGTGTGTCCTACATAAGAAGTGGCTACACTATTAAAAGGCCTGCCTGTCCACAGAGCAAGCAGAGAGACCCAGATCATGAGCAGTACTACAGGGAGCTGAAAGCAAACAGCAATTTTTTACTACACACAGCACATGATTGTAATGCAGAAGCAGGGGAATAAAGTGACCTAAGCAGGTCAAAAGAGAGAACATTCTATTGTTTGCACAGTAAATGATTTACATTGGCTTAATTTGCAAAGAGACTGGGAGTACAACTGCCCAGCAGCAAAACAAAAGAGAACAGGAAGCTAAATGTCTATAGCCTCTGATGTGCATCATCTTTTCTTTTGACATGTATCAAGCTCCTGTTCATTTTAATTTTCAATATGTTGGTACACCCTGATCTGAAGCCCACGACTTCTCTTGCTTTTGACTTCAAGTTCATCCTTATACCTGCCTGTGCCTCTGCCAGCTTATTCATCTGGCATTACAGACTAGAATACGCTATCAGAGAGGCTGGCAGAATATGTGCATGTCTACCTTTCTTAAGGAAAGTTTTTAAGTGCTTTTCTCATTAGTGTACCATAGAGTACTTGAAGTCCTTTCTCACAGGCAGAGGGCACCAGTGCTCTACTGAGTATCTTTTGTGATTGTTTCTTGATGCACAGAACCAGTCTGCCACATTAAACCCTATACAGAAATGATTTGACCCCTCTATTTGGCTGAGGGCATACAGCGTGTGCACGCTGGCCTGCACTTGCAGGCCGGCAAAGATGAAAGACTAGAGCAAATCATCAAATGGACAGATTTGATTCTGTAGCGTGTGGGAGCATCTAAAGTAGGTTATCACTGCCAGAGAAAGTGACAGGCCTGTTATGATTCAAGGCCGATGATAAATGAAATCAAGTGGAGAGTCCTGCTGAGACTTGTAACCCAGAGATGATTGAAAACGGTCCAGCGGCTGTGACAGCCATGTACCAGCTGACAAAACAACAAATATATCTGTCTGTCACGTTACCTGACAGCCACTCTTTGGATATTCTCATCTTATAAACATGGACGGACTGATTTACTGCACAAAGCACAGCAAGGACAGCCTAATTCAAAATATGCTTTTGTTGATAGACTGAAGTACTGTAATAAATTAAGGAATTCATAAAATCTACTGCATAAAACTGGCCAATATTTTCCCTATGTTCAGTAAGATTTGTAGCTTCGCCTTTAGGATTAACATTAAAGAATCCTTTGATTTAGAGTATGAACCAAATTCCAGCATGTACTGTACATGTCAGTGAGAAGAAACAATATGAGCAGGGAGGGTCCTGACAGCCAGTTATCAGTTATGAACTACTTAAGATCATGATGGATAAGTTGGCTAACTGGGTCTCTAAATGCTAAAGAGATTTTCACATCCTGTTGAAGTCAGAGATGCTATGAAGTTACATGAATCTATGTTTCACAGCATAGGTTACTGTATGTTTGATCAGCTGAGGAGATGAATGTTTTCATGTGGATATTAAGACTGACAGAAGATGGACATGACAAATGAGATCTGCAGCCCAGTTTGTGTTCACCAGCTTGTGCCAGGTAGTTTAGAGTGTTTATTCCTTCAGTTTGGTTTGTTTGGGCAGGTGGGAGTAATGCTTTCTGAACTTGGCACTAAATAGCTAGACAACAAGTGTGCGTCTCATTACAATGATTCTGTTTGGCTTTTCCTTTTAATATGCTTTTGACGAGGTAGTAACATACTGCATATGAATCACAGCTGAGCTGACAAAGGCCCTCTGAGTCCCTGGTGAGTGAAGCTCCAGTGCTAAAAGCTGCTGATTCGGTCAGTGACATTGACGTTTCAGCATAGTCAGTCCACTTTGAAGTGGCCTGGGACCTGCCGCCTTAGACTCAACTTTCAGCACAACATTGTGCGTAGGCATCAAGTGTATATTTAACATTCTAAAACAAGTAAGGTGGAAACATTAAAATGAAAGCTAGAAACTGTTTTCAACCAGTTTGTGATACAGCTGATAAAATCTGCAAGCACAAGTTGTTGTTTCAGCTGGAAGGAAACATTCTGGATGAGATAAACAATGCACTGTTTCAAGGGGAGAATTCTGAGTGGCAAATGTGGCACTGTTATTGTCAGCTGCGTATGTGCCATGAGAAAATCGAAGGCTTGATAGCAACCATAAATAAATGCAGATTGCAGGTTTTCCACTGATAACCTCTGTGCTGATGAGGTGATTATGAAGGAAACAAGCACCGGAGCAAGACCCCAGATTAACAATGAGGTAAATAAGACACATAATACTCCAGTGCATTAGCTTTGATTCTTGGGGAAGGGGACAATAAAATTAACTAGCCAAGCAAGGATAAATGGTATTATTATGCTGCATTAACATCATCATCCAAGGAGAAAGTGCAATAACACTTTCCACTGGCACGGAGTGAAAGGGGGCCATGAACAAGCATATCGCCAAAATCCTCCAGGGGAGAAAACAACTGAGATACATGGAGACTGGAAACAACAGATAATGCAAAACTATTTCAACAACCATAAATCTTTCTTCTCAAGCACTGGTGTGATAGGCCTATTACTTTAGAGACCATATCTGTGATAACACTTTTGACACTCCCCCAGCCTTCAGTGAACTTTTACTGTTGTAGTTTGGGTGCGAGTGAAATTGCGGCTCATGACGCTCCGCATGTGCAGTGTCCTTATTATTAGCTTTTTCCATTCAAGCCCCTCCACTATTCTGATACTGACTCAGAGGGTGAGCTTGCTGCAGAACAGGGAATCTCTCGGGCTATTAAATGACAAGTGTTGAAATGAAGGGACGGGATTGTCACTGTCTTTGAATGTCATTACACTTCGATCCTTTTCAAGTGTTTTCCTCATTAATGCATGACACTTAAATTGATAGCTTTCCGATGAATATCTGTGTCTGGTCACACAATGTGCAAATCAGCTGGAGACAGTACAGTGCAAGAAGCCTGATTTCCATTTCAGTGGAATTACTTGTGTTATGAGAAAAGGGGTACTGAGATTTACAGTGATTACAGTTTATCTGTTGCATACAGGAAAATATCTGCTCCACTGTATAGTCTCCTTTTTTCTCTTTTTAAAAGAATATCACAGAATCTACAGATGTCTCACACAGTAATGTTCAATTAACAATGGAATCACAGCCTAGTGGCTGATTAAATGATTAGTCATTATCAAACTACACAGACAATGTCATCAAATTGTCATTGGGCTGTTATAACAGGGCCACTGTGGGGGCAGATTTGACAGAGAGATCAAATAGATCCATTATAACAACTGAGTAAAATGATATGGGGCATGTCTGGCACAGAGGATAACATGATGAAGCTGGTGCCACATATGGGAGATGAGGGGTAATCATCTCAGGAGAAAGCATGCACTGCAGAAAGCTTTTCCCAAAAAGGACTGTTAGTTGAAAAACCACAGGTAGAATGTCACGCTGTTGTATGAAGACAGCTCATGTTCACCACAGAGCTGTCTATACAGAACAGAGTTTAATATGATTTTTAATTTAAAAAGCATTATTGTGCCTTAATTGTACTCATAACAGTAAAGTCTCTTTGCAGCTGCCATGGTCATGTCTAAGTAAATTAAATGTAAGTCTCATTATTTTTCCTCAATTTGAGCAGTTATGGCAGCAGCATAAATCATCTTTGGTCCTTCCCTCAAGGCAAGTCAGGTCAAGTCATGTAAAGGGTAATTCTGCAGTTTTTAATTACATACATGTCATCAGCAGCACTTTATAGCTGTAATTAATTATCAGTCATCACAAATCAGTGTTTCAATATAGGCCCCACCAAAATAAATCAAAGAAACTATATTATCAGGTCAAGTGCTAACATGTTATAAAAACCCTCCCAGGCTGTTGGGATGCATGTACTATTACTGCATGTAGCAGGAGCAGGGATGTAGTAGGAGCTTTTCAAAGTGGATTTTCTTTATGAGTCTGCTGTTGCCAGTAATTTGACATGTAAGTAGGAGAAGGTTTTCCATCCTAAAAGCCTTATGGGAGATCATTCCAGTAACAAAGAGGTTTCAGAGCATGAGGGTGCCAGCCTTGGTAGATCAGTCTTACAGCTGATATGCCTGTTTGTGATTAAAGGGGCTAATGGCTTGAGCTTTATTTAATGGGTTGTTTGTATACGGCTTGAGTCCTTTAGCACAGTCTCTTACTGTAGCCCTTGATAGGACAAAAGCATAAAAATACGAGGACTGCACTTTCAACATCATATTGAATAAATGTGTTTTCACTGTAGCTATAAGATACAGATACGGTATACTAATGGGTGTCAAGTGTTTTTCATGGTCACTCAAGTGTCCTAGTGCAGACTGAGCTGTAATTTCTTTTTGAGGAAAGATCAGGTGAATGAAGCTTGGTAAAGATAGTGTAAATGTGTTAAGGTGTGTCAGCTTTTACCTTTTCTCATCTCTGTACCATTCAAACTCTGGTGTGGGCACAGCAGTGGCATCACACTGCAGCGTCCCCATGCGGCCCACAGGAGTCTCTGAGTTCTTGGGTTCCTTTATTGTTGGAGGGTCTGCAGAGTCACACAGTGTTGATATAATTCAGATCATAAAACCAAAATCAACTCTCATGTACAGTAAAATCAAGTCTTATGCTGCTACTCAGTGATCAAAGACCTAGAACCATCTCACATTGCACTTCTGCTTTCTGTCAGTTTTCTTTGTGAATTCTTTGATTTCCTTTTACTGAAAAGTGAATTGCTCCATTTGTGTTAAGTATGTTTGAACAGAATCATTGATATAAGGCTGCGACAGAAGTAAAACCACTGATTAAACCAAACAATTCAAATAATCTCAGACAAAGGAAGGAATACTCAAAAGGAACTGAGAGATTTGTTTATATGCTACATTTATATATTTCATTCCAGTGTTAAGCAAGGCCCATAAACCAATGTAAAACTGATTATATGGGGCTTGACTTAGGAATTAATCAGTACTAAAAGTTGTCATTAATAATTTCTACAAACATCACAATGGCAAGAAATATGTTGCAGTAGATTAATGCCCACCTTCCATTTGGGATTAAACCCTAAGAAATGGTTTCATACATAAATATTTATGATTTAATTCAGGTACTCAAACTTGGCTAAAGTGTTGTCTGGGCAAACAGCCATAAGTGATTTATTCAGATCAAAGCGAATTCTGTAACTACTCCTGGCGGAGTTGTTTGTGACGCCTCATGAGGTGTTCATCATTCTTGAACATCCAACGTATGCATGACTCTCGTCACATCTAACATGGACTCCTGAAAAGATGCAATTAGGTGATCTTGTTTTGAAATGTTAAGTGTCCCATAAAAGATGTGGTTCATGAGAATTACCATGGAAATGACAGTTGCAATCAAAATTACAGAGCTTTCTCTTTCTATCTGGATTCGTCTTAAGTACACTGAAGGGTGCTCCAAAACTTCCAAGATACAGCATTAACTCCTGTCTGCTTTTATATGCTGGGTATATCATATTGTGAAACTCGTAACATGAAACACGGTAAGAATATCGATTGGTGTTCAGTTCAGAAAGTAGCATGCGCCATTACTTACAATTGACAACCACATTGACATATTTGACATCTGGCGTTGCAACGTCATTACTGGCCTTGCATTCGTAACGACCCGCTTGGTTTCGCATGATGCCCATAATGTCCAGGTACTCTTCTCCATCCAGCGGCTCTGCTGTAGAGAGGCAAAGGAGTGATTGAGGGGGGCAAAAGGGAAAAGAACCAAAAAAATAAAAAAATAAGGGGAGAGAAAAAGGAAGTAAGACAAAGTCAAGGTCATTTATGTTTGAGTCTTTTAATTTAAGATTTTATTTTTCACAGTGACTCTGAACCAGAAAAAAGAGAAACTAACAATTATTATTATTATTTTGCTGATGAAGAACTCCTAAAGTTCTTAAAAAAAAAAACAGTTTGGGGAAACTGATGCCACTCTAATATTGGTCCAGTAGTTTTAAAGACATAGTAACAGCCAGTTAGCTTAGCTTAACATAATGACTGAAAACAGCTGGCCTGGCTTTGACCAAGGGCTAAAGCCCATCAACCAGTTCCTAGAGCGTGCTAATCATTACAAACACAAAGTGCAATAGCTGCAATTTGTGGATGATAGGTTCTGTTCTGAATTATTTCTTGGCTGGGTACTGTGATTTCCTGGCAAGCCACTGCTTTTAGCTAAGAAGCAGTCAATCGGGCCAGCAAAAAGCTGCATGTAGTAATAGGTACAAGTCTCAGATTTTCATATTCAGAAAAACATCTTTTCTGTTGTTGTTGTCCATATGACTTTTGGATGTTTTGTACTTTTGTTTTAATGTTTTAATCTTCTGCTGAATATCTTGCCAGTTTTATACTCCAGTGCTATAGAAACTAATATAACAAATATTTTAATCTGTACTTTTTACAGGTCAAGTAACAACTGACACATAAGAATTTCAAAGCGTTGGTATGATACACAAGTAAATCTGGCCTCCTCTGACACTACTGCCATTATTTTGCTGTCCATGTCAATTTGACTTTTCTGCCACTGGAAGTCAATGGAGGACAATGAAATACAATAATGGAAACAAAACAAAACAGCCATTCTAATCCAGAGTCACTGAAAGCTTCAAAGGACATAGATTTAGTATAAAATTCGGTATGCTTATGTTTAGATAAACACTGCTGCAATGTCATGTTTGATCATTCATATTGGTATCAGATGGATTTTTAAAGGTGTCACAAAGGCAAACATGTTTATAAGCTGCTCCCAATAGCCACATTTTAAAGCAAGGTGAAAAACCTGCTGTCACAGAGAGGGGGCAGATGCGAAATGCGGATAATGGCACACAATTTCGGTCTCTTCTTGAAACCCTTTATGCGGTTGCACATACAAAACAAAATAAATAAAAACAAACAAAAAACAAACATTTTCAGACACGGCTCCCAGATCCAATATGGGAAAAGATTTGGGGAAGGGTGGTTTTAGATGCTGTCTGACCATTTTACGAGCACTTCAGTCCAAGCATACTGACACCTTAAATTGCTCTGCCACTCATCTTTGATTACGGGGTGAATAAATTAGGCAGCAATTTGATCATCATGTTTCCCCACCCATATTCCACAATGGAAATTCACAGTCAGGTCAAGTTCAGACTGAATAACATAGATTGTCTCTTTAACTGAAAGCACATTTAATATTCAACAACTTGCTAACCTGACTTTAATTTGTTGTTTGTTTGAAAGCTTCAATTAACAAAGGAATAATACGTGCAAATGTCAGACTAAACATCTGAACTGAGAGCAAGAAAACAGAGACTCTCATACAGATGTCTCACTAATTGTTTAATGTGTAATTCAGCTAATTAGCCATGTAAAGAACACAGTGTCTTGGTGTCTCATTGAGAAAGTTCTGCTGTCTTATCAAAGCTCTGTGGGTGAGTCAGGAGCAGGAAAAGGTACTTTCTTTAATCTGCTGTCATGTTTATTGCACCTACTTTTTTTTTATCATCTGAAAATAGTACTGGTGTGAAGACCTTGTGGTATGATTATTTGTCATATGACAATTTACTGATTTTCTGGATGTGTGACATTCCAATGAATTCAACAGAAATGTGATGATTAATCATGTCTGTGATAATAACAGGTGTTTGCACACAATACAAAGATGTGTAGATTGTTCACTGGACTTGAACATCCATCCATTCATACATTTTAACCTACAATAATTGAACAAGGAATCATCTGCTTGACCCAGATGACCCAGAAAATGTATGTAATAACTACAACAATACTGAATGATACTTTCTTTAATCTAAGAAAATAGGAAATGATGAAATCTGGGCAGTGGAAATAAATTGCACAGATGCGATCTCTGTTGTGGTGGTGGGGGGACTGCAGTGTTTGTAACGACAGTAAATGTCAGTAGCCTCAGTTGTCGGCAAGTTCATGCTCATGTTCCGAGCGAAGGGCTGCAGGCTCTGTGAGACCGGAGCGCGGTGTGCGAGAAATGAACCGATAACTTCAGGGACTCTGATATGAGAGGTTAGTAGAAAAACAGCTGTTCTGCTTTGGTGAGTGCACATAAATGCTGTGTCATTTCATGCCATGAAGTGCACAGCAACACCAGGTAACAGCACCCCAAAAACATCAGTCTAACTTTTGAAGCCAAAATGCCAAATAACCACAAACCCTGGCCTGGCCCCAGTGAATGGAAAACCCCCCCACAAACTGATCAAAATGAAGTGCCTGATCGAGATGAAGGTCAGCTGATATGGTATTATTACATGTTGATTGAAAGATCAGTGGGATCACGATCAAAGTCTAAACCATATCACATTTAGCTCACTCTGGATGAACTGCTAGAGTAACACAAATGGAGAGGTATGATTGAAAATCTGTTGCCATGGAAATTTTGTTGAATGGCAATCTCTTGGATGGCTGGAAGAAGAGACAGAAAACCAGGTGACAGCAAAGATCAAAGAAGAGAGAAGAGAGGAGAGAATGTAAATGAGAGATGAGAGGAAACAGCTCAACTAGTTACTAAACCACTGCAATTATAGGCACGGTTATCTCACCTGGTGTATAGAGAGCATCTCAGTCATGAAGAATGAGTGGAACGTGATGTATTATATAAAGAAACAATACAACATTTCATGCATGTGTTCGTACCCTCTGGACTATACTATTTCTGTACACAAAGTGTGTGCTTCACATGTTATGAATTTATTAAAGACAGACTGGTTAATTTTGTCCAGAGGGATTAGAGTGCATGTACAATATATTATGTGTGAATGTGTATGCACACCAACACCTGTCACACATTTCTTCTCTCTGTTTCTTAATCAAACATTCACATTCATATACATACATGTATGCAGGTCAGAGTGGGAATCTCTGCAAAACAGCACAGTATTTGTTGCATGTCTTTTGATTTGGCCCAAGTGTTGTTCTCCAAATATTCTCTTTGGACACTTGGAGTGGAGGGCACAGAAGTTCAGTAGCCTTGAGCTACTCTAACTATAGAATTCACAATGAAGAAGACAGAGAATAGGTGGCAAAATGCACCGTCTATTTTCTACTCTGAGAGAACAGCATTAACTGGAATAGAAACTTGTGATCACAGAGAGTTGGATCACTGAACTGTGGTGTTTTGGCAGATGAAGCATAGCACTGTCAAAAATATAAACTTTATATATAATGCTTATACAAATATACTGTAAATGTTCTGCTGTGTGTTTGATCACCTGGATTGTAAGCGTCAAAATTATGGGTTGCATATGTAATCTTAGAATGAAACTACTGCGTGATTATCAGACACAATACTGTATACCCAGCCAACCGAGAGCTGAAAATAAATTACTATCACTGAGCTGCTTCAAAACAATTTCTTTCAGAAAGCATACTTGCAGAGGCTGATGAAAGGTAATACCACTGTTGTGGGAGTTTGAAATACTGTGGATATACTGTAAATCCTTGGAGTCAGTGGTCCATGAAAAAAAATCACTCTACTCCAAAAGGGATACTGTAAACGGAAACCATGTAATAATTGAGAATTACAGGAAACGCTAGCAGATAAATAAGTTATACAGTAAGCTGCATTACAGCTGCCTACAGTTCAGAAGTGATGGCCTAGATGAGGCCCCTCAGCCAGCTTGTCTCCCTATCCATTATCATTTGAAAGCTTATGAAAAATGTTTGAAAACTAGATGAAAAAGAAAAACTCTGTGACTGTCCAAAGTGCTGAGTAGTGACAGTAAATTAATTTCTGAATTCTGTTTTTGATAAGAAACTGAAATGTGTTCTTCAAACTCGCCTGTTACCCCGTCTTGGACAGCAAGCGCTTTTTGTTTTTCTGCCATACTCTAATTTGCTATGCAGCCTGGCACTAGCCTTTGGGATATGCAACAGCAAGCTTTTGGAAGTGAACTGGGAAGGGTTGTGGGGCCTGGAAGAAGCACATTTCTATAAACGCTTGCTGGGAATTGATTTGCATTGCAGTGGCAATTTTAAGTTTGTGTGGAAAAACTACAAGATCTCCATGTCAATTAAAGGACTGTAGGGGTGAGGGACGGCGGTGGGATGGGAGCACCATCACACATCCTGTAGGTCCATAGGTCCATAGGTCCACACATGCTCACCACCTCTCAAAGCAAGAAAGCAGAGCACAGAGGGGAGAGGGAGGGAGAGACAGAGGAGGGGAAGAGGTGACAGATGTGAATCACAAACCAACAACTTCAGCAGGCAACTTGATAGTGTTGATTTGCATATGCTCATGCATCATTCATCAGCATCACTTTACCACAGTGTGAAACATTACATTTATTTTGCAAATGCTAATTTATGTTAAGCAGCTAATTTGTGAAGCTTCAGAGCTGAGTAGCACAAAAGACCCTGCAACATTTATTTTCTTTTGTGTGCATGAGTGTGATAGTGCACAGCATGTGCTAGTGGTTGTACAGTATACCTGTTACTTCCCTCTGGACCTTCAACTCAGTGTGCATATTAGAAAATATGTGTTTTTGTGTTTTGACAGTTGCTTCATCTAAAACATCCATATGGCAGCTATTTTCCTGTCAGGACTTGGTGTGATTTAAATGATGGGTCAACACTTAATTGCCCAGTAACTATCCTCATCAACAGATTTGTCATGGTGGAGATAATGAAAAGATAAGTGAGTTCAGATGCTTTAGCTCACTTACTGAA